TTACTGGGTCAGATTTTGTGCCCATGAATAGTGAATACCATTGAACTTATGAAGGGTCTAGTAGAAGTTCTAGAAAAGGCAGGATTCTCCTAAAGAAGCATGTAATAATTATGTTCCACTTAACCAGGAAATCTAGATATGTTAACAGGGACCAAGCCGATTTCCGCGCCCCCCCCAATATAATTCTCTGGATGCAACTTTTATCTAGATACATTAGCTATCCCACAGAGTCAGAACTGACTCAGTATCTTGTCATAAATTCAAGTATTTTGCTAGTGAATTTGGATTTACCCATTAATTTTAATCTGAACCTGTGCATTGTATAGGATTGTACTTGTTTGGCTTTTTTCCATTTTGACTGTGGTGTACCTGGAAGGTTGGGGTATATGAATAAGTAGACGAATTAATTTTAATAGGAACATTTTTTTCTTCAATTTTTAGGCCGGAAGGTACCCCATTTGAGGATGGTAAGTAACTAATTTATTGCCGCTCCTATTCCCCTTCCTCAGTTGTAGATGTATGTAGATATGTACAACGTGAATATTGTATTTGTTTTGAAGAAAGGTACATACATTGCCTATACATGGGCTATTTAATTATGATAGCCACAAAATTTAGTTATGAGTCAGAAAAAGCAGAAAGCAAGCAAAAACTGTAAGTGAAAGAGAGGGCTTGCTGTTTTAAAGAGATTATGGTCTTTTGATTGGAGCACTCTTGTTGCCACAGTAACCCACAGCTAACTGAACGTTTTGAAGTGAGATCTGCTTATACATAGAGAAATTGAAACATTCAGTAGGACAGGGGTGGCCAATCTGCAGTACTTGTGCCACAAGCGGCACAGGCAGCCTTTGTGTGGGGCATGCAAGCAGATTAGGGAGGGGCAGGGAGCAGAAAGAGCAGGAGATTTGGGCAGGGAGCAGAAAGTAGACCAGCAGATTAGGCAGGGGAAGGACATCAGAGAAGCACTGGAGCTTGTGGGGCTTAACTGGCAGTATACCCGCCAAAAAGGTTGGTTCCTGCTGCAGGAGATGTTATCGGATGCTATCCAATACCATCAGATATTTTCATATCTCCTACAACTAGCTGAGACTTTTATGCTCTTATGGTCACGTCTGGCTTAGTAGTTAGATTTTGATTCTTCTCTCTTTCCTTCCACTAAGAGCAAGTGGGAATCTTGATTTTCTTTTTCTATGCAGATGAATTCTTAGTGGGAAACATTTTAAATAAAGATGAAAGCAAGTAAGTGTAATAACTACTGGACATGCAGAAAGGGAGGCATCAGAACTTCTGTATTAACAATTCCTCGTTATTGCAGTGATCTGCAATGAAAGGGGAATAAGAAAGGGAGTGGGCAGGGGCTATTCAGCTTCCCTGGAAGTGAGAAAATATCTTGCTTGATTTTTCTCGCCCCACCCTGGTAGACCTGGGGGTGGGCTTAATTGATTATCATATTTCTCAAGACTTATTTTAAGCTTTGTTCATGGGTCCAAACTAAGTATATGGAATTAATCAGTCATAAGTTGGAGCCACATGTTATGTGAAAATTCAGCTTTTTGTACTGAGTTCAGACTACAGTCTTTTCTCAGACAAAATTCCCATATATTTCAGTGACCAAAGCCTGGGGGAGGTCAGTCCTACTGGAGAGATACTGAATAATTAGAGCACGGTGATGGTTGTGGTGGTTTTTAAGATGTTGAATAATTTCTAAACAAAAATTCAACAGTTTCTCCTTTCAAAGTTGTCTGCTTTGGAAGTCTTTTATCCAGGAGGAGAAAGGCCTCTTAACTTCTGATCCATGGAGTCCTAAAAATTGGCAAGATAGAAACCATGTGGAAATCATGACTGAATTGTACCATAAATTAGAATGCAACTTAGCTCACTTCTTTTTAACTAATTCGTCACATACAGTTATCTGAAACAGTATTACTTCTCAAGTATCTGGTAATTACACTGAAAATCCTGCAAAAGGTCTGCATTTAAGTTAAGATGATTGGATAACCGAAGTGAGATTCTAGTTCCTTTTCTGCATATTCATTGGTCTTCTAAATTCTTATGTAGATGCTGATGTTTTTATCCATAGTAGTATTGCTGTTTTATTAGTGCTTGAAATATAAATAAACATTGAGTCTGACTTTATTTTTGGAGGGGTAAGAAGAGACATTGGCTTTAGTCATAGAGCACATCAGTTAATTTGTCATGTGTTCATGAAGGGTTTGTTTTTTTTAATTACTATTACAGTTATATGATTATATGTTTGCTTTTTTGGACAGGGACCTTTAAACTAGTAATAGAATTCTCAGAAGAATATCCAAATAAGCCTCCAACTGTTAGGTTTTTATCAAAAATGTTTCATCCTAATGGTGAGTATTAATGCTTACTTGGCCATAAATACTAAGTATTGTAGTGTGATTATACATCCTATGAAACTCAGCAGCACTTAACATCTCTTTTTCCTAAATTTGACATTAAGTTTATCAAGTGCTCAGTCAAAAAGAGATGACTTTCTTTGCATCATAATTTCTATCTAGAATAAGTTATCCTTGAATTCTGTAATCGGTGTATGTAGCTAACTCAAATGCAAGCCAGTGACAAAATGAAGACTGATACCCTGTTCTGTTACAAGCAGCATAGGTTTCGTGGGAAGTTCCTATCTTCACTAGAGGTTTTATTTTTCTCTCTTTCAGCGGTCAATTTTTTGCTACAATTAACTGTTTCCTTCTGCATCTTTTTCATAGCCCTCTTATTTTTAAGTATTTATTTATGGAGATCACTTAGGAGTCTCTATTTCCATACTTATTTTTCTGGCCCAGCTCCTCACCTCCATGGTAGACCCTCTAGAACATTGGCTGGAGCCCACGGTGCATGGTTAGTCTGCAGGCCTCATCTAGCATAGGATTGGTCTGCAAGTGCTGTCCAGCACACTGGCCCAGCCCTTCATGTTGGATCTGGCTGTGTACGCTGGCCTGCCACAGTGTGCTGGCCCAACCCTATGCATTGGGTCCAGTAGCAGAGTGACCCCTGTGTGCCAGCCCCAACGCAAACTGGTGCAGTCTGGCGCACAGGACCACATCTGAGTCTGGGAATTTGGCAGCAGGTGCAATTAATGCTGCTACCACTCCCTGGCTGTCACATTTTTGGATCCTTGGGGAGACCTGTAGGCAAGATGACAGCTCTATGGGCTGGATCTGGCCTGTGGGCTGGAGGTGGAGCACCCGTGCTCTAGAATGAGGGTGTCCTAAAGACCAGATGCACAACTGCTACAATACAAGGAGCTGAATTCAGACTGAATTTATACCCTATACCTAACTATTTGATCTGTGAACACTGCATTTCTGCTTCACTTAAGGTTCCCCTCCTGCTGTCATTTCCTTCTTTCACAGTTTTTATCCTTGCTTATATAGCCTAATTCTGCATCTGTTCAAGTTAATGTGAATTTTGCCATTGATTTTTTTTCCTAAGCAGGATTGGGTTGTTAGTGCTTCTCCAGCAATGTTCCCAAAGACGTGACACGAGTTTCTCTGTTGCTATCTATGCGAGTACAGAGGAGGGTTGATGAGCTTCTTCCTTACTCCTTATGAAGCAGCCTGCTGCTCTCAAATGCTGCTTGTTCCCGCTGGGCAAGCACTGAGTAAAGATCACTAGGATCCTATCAACTTTCATTCAGTTATGTAGCAGAAGTAGCACAGGGATGATCGTTCCACCTCACTGGGCATGAGAAATAGAAGCTTTCCAGCCCAAGTTCACATCTGGGAAAGCAGGCTGCTCACTTGTTGTTTTCCATCTCAGAGCTAGACCTTCCAATGCCTGTCTCACTCTTGCTCGCTCTCTCATTTTTAGGTATTTTTATATGCCCCCTATTAGGGTTGTCTTTGAGTGCTTCACATCTTTTTTAATGTAGTTTATCCTTCTTCACAGAGGTATTGTTGTGAAGTACTGTTATCCACATTTTTTAAATGAGAACCTGAGGCATAGAGACACTGACAGATCTAAGGAAGGACTTGAGTGTCTTCAAATTAGGCAGCACAAGCAGAATCCAAAGCGCAGAGAGAAATGCCTAAGCTCCCAATATAGTGCCTGAGGGAGAGTTAGATTTGGCAGAAGGGCAATCCAGAAAACAACACATGGTGCATGGGGAGCTGCCTGGAAGTAGCCAGTAGGAAGAGCTAAGCATAGAAGTGTTTCTGAATTCCTGCCCTTCCCTGGAACTTCAGAGTCTGAGGGGATAGACAAATGAATACATTGCATGGCGTTGAAAGGGGCCACACACTCGCAGTATGTCAGCTGCTCTGGGGAAATTGGCCATGTGCTGGTTCTTATCCTGAACTAAGTAGAAGGTAAACTGTGGTAGTTTAGCCCTCTTTTATTAGTGTCAGGATTATATCTGCTTTTGATTCTTTGACTGTTTAATGCAAAACGTATGAACAGTCTGTAACGAGATGTCAGGACTCTCACCTGCCCCCACGGAAGGCCCTAACCACAAGACTGTGAGATCCTGCTCTCTCGGGCTTGCTCTCTCGGACTTGCTCTCTTTGTGGCCTCTGAAATTTGTGTTCTCTTCTGCTCGGTAGCACAGGTTCAAGAGAAAGATGTGCAGGTGGAGTGTCTCGGCTTAGTTTATAACCTGCTGGTTAGGGCATTCTCTTGGGATGTGTGTGATAGGGGTTTGGATCCACTCAAACTGAGGAGGGCCTAGAAGCAGGATCACTTCGTGGCTTTAACCCCCATGCTAGCACATGAGAGAGGCTCCTCCACAACCTGGTTGTGCTGTACAATAAAAGTGCCCTGAGTGCAGTGTTTTGTTCTGAACTCCATGGTATTGGGTTTTGTGAGGCATACTTGGATCACACCCCCTGGGTTGATCTGGCCAAGGGGCTTAGCCTGGGATTTGGGTTCCTGTCTGTTCAGACCAAGACAGTTCTGAACAGGTGCAAAGCAGAACTGAGAGCACATGGAGAATTTTCAGACCACTGAACAGAGTTTTTTGGTGTGCAGTTTTAGACTTGGACAGTTCTAGGTACCCAGGTCTTTGTCCCCTGGATCTTGATGTAAGGGGCTTCCTAGGACCAGGCAAGTGAATCAGAGTTGAATCCAGGTCTCCCCAGTCTCAGGCTAGCATTCTAACCAAGGATCATATTTTAAGTGCTTTTTTGCCTTCAGTTCTGCATCTCCCCATGTAAAACTGGTGTTAGAGCCTGTTATAGAAATTGTCCCCATAAAAAAATATTATCTCCCTTTATTATGTTTCCTAAAGTGCTAAATTAAGCATGAACTGAATTGCCATACTCTAAAAGTGTATTTATTCATGCAGTATTTCAGCACAACCAGCTATAAATAAAGTGGCAGGATTTTTAAACAATTCCTATGCTCTGATTACAGTTTATGCGGATGGTAGCATATGTTTAGATATTCTTCAGAATCGCTGGAGTCCAACATACGATGTTTCATCTATTTTAACTTCAATTCAGGTAATTTTTTAACTTTTTATTGCAAGTAAAGTATGATGACTTTCTGCCACAGAACAGTGGATTCAGTGACATAGCAATATTCCATGCCAATGTACTGTAGTCCAAGTTGTTGAAAAGTAAATTGGAAGCTTTTTAGCTCCTTTTAAAGACTGTTCATTTCTGAACTAAGTATAGCCTGTTGTTATATTTCTAAGTAACAAAAATAATCGTTGTAGGGAATTTATGTAGGAAGATAGTTACAGATTTGGATTCCTTTATTGACAACTATTTCAAATGTGATATTGAATGTAAATGTTTGTAATAGAACTTGCATGTGAAAGTTTTTAGCTATTATATTTCAAAGCCTAAGTTTATGAAATTCTCAGTCAGTATTATTGCAGTCCAGCTAATTGGATTGAATAAAATTAGTCTTGAATTTGTTACAGTACAAACTATCCTGTTTTCCCCCTAGTGGCTAGTTTTGTTTTTTCATAATATTTTCCAAGACATTGGTCCAAATATCTGATTTTGTTTTTATTTCTTTTTTTTCCCGCACTCTCAGTCTCTGCTTGATGAACCTAATCCAAACAGTCCTGCAAACAGTCAGGCAGCACAACTTTATCAGGAAAACAAACGCGAATATGAAAAAAGAGTTTCAGCTATTGTTGAACAAAGCTGGAATGATTCCTAATAGATGGCTACTTTGTTAATCTTCATCCTCATAATCATTGTGTACAATTTAACTCTGAATAGAAAGGCTACCAGAAATTAAGTGCCACAAGTTCTAAGAATTTGCATACAAATTGTTTGCAAAAAATTAAGCCCTCCAGTTTAGAAACTTTAAAAGCTTGTGTATCTTGATTAACATACTTTTTATTGCATGGTATGAACTAAGTTATTGCTACATAAATTTGTAATATATCCTGTTTGTATTTTTTTCCAAGTGTATAATGTTGGTGTGCAGTTTTCATGACAGAATATACGCATTTTGTAAATCTGTACTTTTTCAAATATTGAATGCCTTATTTTTGAATTCTTTAGATTTTTAAAGTGGAGAAAAGCACTTAAAGTTTTTATATATAAATATTACATGTAAAACTGTTAAATACATAACCTCAGTGCAAGATGTTCTGTCACTTTCTGTATCTCTTTCAAAGGTTCAGTTTTAGCCTTAGATTTTTCTTTCAATACATGCTGACACCATGCACTTTACATATGTTCAGAAGATTTTTGCCATGATGCTTAACATTTGTCTTCAGTGGAGACATGCCTATCTAATCTAGGCTTAAATTGTTCCTGTAAATCTCCTCACTTGTATGAGGTAAGAAAGTATTTATCACCCCCTATTTTGATGGGGAAACCAAGGCGCAGATACAATAACGTGCCAGTAGTTACTGTAAATCGGTAGCAGAGGTACAAACAGCACTTGGATCACCTGGCGCTATCTTTCTCTTGCCAGTGAGAGGTTTATTAGATTAAGATTTTGATAATTTGTCATTTTCAGGGAAGGTATTAATGATTTAATAAGTTGATTATACAACAAGTAAGCATACCTATAGTGCAATTTCTGAGTGCCTCTGATAGTTCATATTTTTCTGATGAATTTATACATGAGATTTTAGGCAGAGTAAAACAATAGGATATTTTTATCACAATCCTTCTTCCATAGGGATTGAAAAGCATTACCTAAACTTTATGTATCGCTGGTTGTTGTTATAATTTAAAAAAAATTTTTTTTTTTAGTTTAGCTTGGGTGGGGGGAAAACAGTAAAGCAATGAGGTTCTTACCTGTTCCTCTTGGGAAACAAATTTCTGAAGAAAAAGTGTCTGCAGATTATTTTATGAAATTTTATTTTGATGGGGGGAGAGATTTGTCAATTTGCATGTTTGTTTCTTAGTTTATTATTAAAATGAGGAATGTAATGGGGGGGTCTCCCCACTTCCCCCCTTCATTAATGGTGTGGTAACGTCTCCTTGCAATCTGAAAGGCAGGCTGGGTAATATATTATCATATCTGCTTTAATAGCTTTCACATGTTTTTGTTTTATTTCCCAGTGACATCAGCGTGATCACTTCTTGTCTTCAAATTTCACCTTGCATTACATGCTTGCCTACAACCCCAGAAACTCTAATGGGATTTCACAAATATAATTCATGACCACTTGCATTTCCAGTTTTAGTTAACAAATCTGCTGAGGATGCATATGCCAGAGCATAATTCTACAGACTCTCCTGCAGCTGTGATGGTTTTCTATTGGTAAAACCTTCTTATTGTAAAACTATGTAGACATTGAAAATATGTAAGAAACAGTTCTGTCAAAGGTGGTTGCACTTTGACTTTTCCAAACTCTGTTTAAAAGAGGAATTGTTTAAACCTGTACAAACAAGTACTACAAAGAAAGAAAAGTATATGTCAAAACGCTGCTTTAGTATTCCCCTGGAAAACAGCAAGTAGCATTTGGCCAAAGTTAGGTACTGTTGGACATATCCTGTTCCACCTGCTAAGTATCAGAATGCAAGCTTATTCCACTGTGCTGAGTCCCTAGAAAACCACTAATGCAAAAGGTGGGCTTTTCATAGCTGAATCTGAGGCACATTACAAAGTAGATGCATTTTAATGCTTTTTTCAGGAACTCAGGCAGGATTGAATAGGACTGCATAAAGCTTAATTGGTGGAAAAGGATCTGGCCTTAAGAGATTTTATATTATATGAATTAATGGCATATAAAAGCAGGCTTATCACTGCTAATGCAGTGAATTCATATAGCTGTGTCATAACTGCGCGTGGTTATGTAATTTCTAGGTGTATCGACATCAGATTGCAGAACTGATTGGAATATCAGTGCTGCACTAGCAGGAGCTGCTACACCAAAAAGACTTTATGCAGGTTTTTAGAATAGTGTATTCAGTAAGCAACAATCTTTTTATATTTTAAAGCCAGTATTTATCCTTTGATCTATTCTGGTATCATTTTGAACACTTTAAGATTATTATTTGAAAAATCATCATAAAGTGGTAGGACTCATATGCTTATCTTTTATGACATTCATGGAATCAGTTTTAAGTATTTCATTTGCACTATTTTGAGGAAAAGTCTAAGGATGGAATTCACCGGTTAATTAAAAAAAACACCAAAAACATTTAAATGGAGCTACTGTTAAGCTTTACATTTCCAAGATTAACAGTAAAGGTGCTGTTTTCTAAGGGCATTTATACAGATGCTTTGGGGGGGGCGTCTCTTTAATTAAAGTGCCTGAGGTGTCTCGTGTATCAAATGAGCTTTAGTAAGGAAGAGTGACTCATGCACCAGGGAGCATTCAACCAGGTTGTGTGTGTACATTTGCTGGGAAGACTGAAAAAATCTTTTCTTTTTCCTGTTCTTTTTGCCTTCACAGAATGATAAATACTGTAATGTTTGAAGGACAGGAAGAAGTCAGATTATCAGAATAGTCTCTCGAGTCGGTGAGAGCAAGCAACTGCTGGTCACTGGTTCCTTACATTGGGGGTATGCAGTCTCCCACATAGAGCTTTGGGTTATGGAGACCATGAAAACCACTGATGCCCTCCACCTCAGACACACAAAAGTGCACATAGTATATTACAAGACAGTAGCTCAAAGCATTTTTTGTTTTGGAGAACTGCCATCAAGTTCAGTGTAGAACAGGGGTGGGCAAAATATTGCCCATGGGCTGGATCTAGCCTGGGGTGGGTTCCTCGCTCCTGCCTGCTCCAGGCAACATCTGGCCCATGGTGCATCCTGTAGCCCCTGGGCGCACAGTGGGGCTGGGGCAGCTCTGCAGCTGGGCTCTATTTCTAGACAGCCCAGGTGACAATGGCTCCTTCCAGCTGCTGCCAGCCCCAACCTCATGGAGATGAGTGGGGACCTGCATGCACAGCTCTGGCCTTGGCTTGTTTTGCCCCAGAGTGGACCAGCTGGGACTTGTGCACAAAGCCCCGGCCCCAGGCTGCTCCAGACGCTCCACCCACAATGAGTAGCAGCGGTGGCTGTGCAAAAACTGCTGTTGGGCGTGGCGGAGGAAAGCAGCCACCTCACCTTTGCTGCTGCTGGGACCTTTTTGCTGCAGTCACCCAGAGTCCGTGTCTGGGCTGCCCTGCAGCTCTTCGCTGCTGTCACTGCTGTCGTCACCACTGCCACCAGCACTGCCTCTGGGCTGCAGAGCAGGGTGGCAGTGGCAGTGGAGAGGAGCCACAGGGCAGCCTGGGTGTGGGCTTCAGGTGGCGACAGCAAAAAGGGCCCAGCAGTGGCAAGGGGGATGTGGCCACTTTTCCCTCACACTTGGCGACAGCTTCTGCCCAACCATTGCTACTGCTGCTCATTGTGGGTGGGGTGGTCCTGGGCAGGTCAGGGCTCTGTGCGTGGGTCCCAGCTGGTCCTGAGCTGGTCCACTCCAGCTGGGATGAGTCTAGGATAGACCGGGGCCAGGGCTGTGTATTCAACTGCTCCTGGGCACCGGTGGTGGGGAGGAGCCATGGGGCATGTGGGCTCCAGGCTCTTGTGGGAGGGAGACGGGGCACTGACTGGCCTGTGACAGCACCTCAGAACTGCCTATGTGGCCCACTGGCCCAAATAATTGGCCATTCCTGGTGTAAAACCTTGTTTTGTTTGGTCAGTTATGGTGTATATGAGAGTAACTTACTGTTAAATATCTTGAGACAGGAATTTTCTTTTTCTCCTCCAACTCAATAGATTATAAATAGAGTTTATTGATATAGTATGGTTAAGGAAAGCCACCTCATTATTCTCATTTAAGATCTCTGTTGGGATGACTGTAAAAACACTTTACTGGTTAAACAGCTGGCTTGCTTTGATTGCCACTTCTCACATGAACTGATGTTTTTAATGATACTTCATGTTCTTCTCTCCATTGCACCTGCCTTTCACTTCTCATTTTATATTAAATTGCACGCATGTCAGGGCTGGGGCTGACTTTGTTATCTGTTTATACAAGGCCTGGCACAGTGGGACCATGGGTACAATTGTAATACAAATAGCAGGCATGGGCTGTCTAAAAGAACATTTGTATTTGCTGACAGATACTTAAAAGGTGTTTCTGTAGTGAAATTTTGCCAGATTATTGCTCTAAACAGCACAGCATTATAAGGAGTATTATAAAGCTGCTCTTTAACAGTGAAGTAAGAAAGCAAAGTACCATATTTACTTTAATATACAATAACCCTGAATATAAGACCCCTCCTTCCCCCCTCATAATATGATTCTATACATGGAGAATTGCAACAGATTTATCAGTTTTCCAGGTGTAGAATTAATCATCAGAGTGTTGTCTTGAATTCATCCCCTTCTGCTGCTGCACATGGGAAAATAGTGGCTATGGGGTCAGGTGCCCCACTTGCCCTCTGCCCACCCACCCCACCTTCTTTCCCTTGCAGTCTTCCTGCTCCTGTTTACTGTCACACCCTGCTCAGGCTCTGCTCCATCCCCAAAGCCAGTGTAGAAGTGAGCTACATGTGACTGTAAATGGGGAGGGGAGAGAAGAGGGCAGAAACTGCAGAGGGGAAAAAGAGATTTCTGTGAGTCTAACTGTGGTCCCAGCTCTGACTGCTGCAAATTTCAGTTCAGGTACTCCATGAACACACTCTCTGAACACCACTTGTACCACCTTCTGCAAATTGCATGGTAATAGTCCAGAGCCAAAAAGCTCATGACTTGTATAGTTCATTGGGCTGGGCCCCAGCAGAGTCAAGTGTTTGAAGCAACAGCAATGCCATAGCTCAGCACTGCTCAGTACGTGTGGATCCTTTGTGGGGGCTAATTAGCCCCCCCACTAGTGACTGGAACCGGTTGTTCTTGCCACAAGTCCTGGGACCCTCCAAAAATGTATATTCACATGAGGCACAAGGCTGCCTGGTCTGTCTCTGCCCTATGGAGGGTGGGGCCACAATATCACATACGACCGGCTTGGGTGGGGGGGCAACAGAGCCCCTTGGCTATGTAGAAGTTTGCTGTGTTAGCAACAAGAGGAAGATTAGGGGA